CTCTGTTTGTTTATAATTAGACCCAAGATTTCATGTAAGCCTAGTCGACGAAAAGATACGTGATGGAAACCTGGAATGACATAAGTATCAGTTCTCAAGCAACAAGATAACATGTTGTCGTTCCTATTATTTACTCCTTGGGCCTTCATCGAGTTCGGATGAAAGGGCCCACAACCCGTTGATTCAAATCACCCGGGAACCAACATATATTCTACCTTTCCCTTTAAAGTTTGAACAAAATTTCTTGACCAATATCCAAGAAATCCTGACCGTCCATTCGTCCTTCATAAAATGCAACGGAATCCAGTTTCCAATCGATCCACAATAATAATAGAGTAGCCAATCAGATATCATTACCCTAATAAATAAGAAATCAAACCTTTCAATCTCACGCGTTCATTTTCATTTCTCACCAAATTTCATTCAATATTTCCTGTTCAAAAGAAATTTCTAATATAATTGGTGATTTTTATCATCAAATTTAAGACTATCTAACTATTTCATATTTCAACGAAAGCTAACTATTTTTAGGTACAGTAAACCGTCCACATCCCCGCTTTCAAATATCCAAACCGATACGCGCCCCCATACCCAAGCATAGGTGTGGGCATCCAATAGTGCATTGGGTCTGCTTTGATCCAATTTGGTCCAGTCCAAATATCAATTCAGTATATTTTTCTTCAGTACTTATAAAATTCATATGCTCAAGGACCGGACCAAATTACATTCGATTCGATATGGTCCAATCCATTTCCCACCACTACCCATGCGGGGGAAGAATTCGCATGACCCACCTGAATGGGTAATGGGTGTGTCAACCGCTAGACTCACCTGAATCCACCCGATTATAACCCACCCATTACATGTTTCGGTGGAAGTGGTGGGTGGGTGTGGGTCATCGTTTTTACCACCTACTAAATTTGGATGGGTGGTGGGTGGGTAGTGGGCGGGTAGCGGGTTGGTCATTACCATCAAAATCACATGATATATTAAATCGTTAATGCACATTATATAATAAAAGTATATTTTTTTCTTATGTCAAAACTTTAATCATGATTTATTTAATATAATTAAAATTATCTTTTATAAATTTTACTTGATTTAATTAATTCTAGGGCTAATTCCACTAGGAAGCCCAAACTATTCAAAAAGTGTCATGTTTGGCCTAAACTATTCAATATGACAAATCTGGCCCTAACTATTTTTTTTTTGTTAATGTTGACCGACGTTGACCATTAGTAGATCATAGAAAATGTAGTCAGCTTCTATCTAGTTTGGGCCAGATTTGTCATATTGAATAGTTTAGGCCACAAATGTCACAAAATGCATATAGTTTGGGCCAGATTTGTCATATTGAATAGTTTAGGCCACAAATGACACTTTTTGAATAGTTTGGGCTTCCTAGTGGAATTGGCCCTTAATTTTAACATAATTGGTGGTTTTTATCATAAATTGTTATACTTGCTAAGTAATAACTTATTGATAGCACTTCTATTTGCTCCACATCAATGAAATCTAACTTCAAGTCAAATGGTGTGTACATTTGTATTTTATAATACAACTAAACCTAAAGTAGTTCGGATTTTACCCATACCCATGCCCAAAGCAGTTAAAATCGGGATTTTACCTAAAATCGAAAACTGGGGTAAAATCGGAATCATAAAATCGAATCATAGAATCGTAGGATTTTAAGTACCACATAGAAATTAACATATAATAATATTAATAAGGTAAATAATTAATAACACAAAGACTTATAATATTTAAAGTGATAATTTTCAAGATTAATGTTCCAAAATCATCATTTTGATTGTTATTTAATGTGTAACTAAAAATAATTTACGAGAAAGGGATAGAGCTCATGGGGTTTGGCTCTTCTTTTACATGTTGTGTCTAGGTAGTTTAACTCAAAGTAGTATTCCGACATCGTCTACTAAGCATGATTTAAAACTAAGCATACCTGAAATCCAATAAAATAATTAATGTGATTGGTTTGGTACAAATATATTCATTAATAATAATTTGTTAATAATGATGTTAATTCTTACGCACTAACAATATTCTAATAATTGTTTTACCGATGAGTTAAACAAGGAGAAGGGAAGGGGGTTGACCGAACCCTAATTAGTTTTTTTTCTTCTTTTCAAATGTTCTTTTAATAGGAAAAATATATGAGAAGATCCCCGTCATTGCCCTTTCCACCGAAACAATTCTGTTTCGTTTGAATTGGCTCAAGCTCCCTATTTTGTTCACATAGGATCAAAATCCCGATTTTGGTACGATTTTACGATTTTAACGATTTTAATCCCGATTTTGAACGATTTTAAGGTCCATCGATTTTATAGTAAAATCAGGATCGGAATCACTAAGTAAAATCCTAAACTCCTACGATTTTACGATCAAAATCTCGATTTTGACTGCATTGCCCATGCCCAAATAGGAAACGGGTACAAATCAAAACCATGCCCATATTTGTTATGGTTTCGGGTATCCACGGTTATCCGTGGGTACAAAATCAAAACCATGCACATACTCACTAGAAAAAAATAATTAAATAAACAACACAATCTCATGAAAATATTATATTTATATGCTAAATTAAATTATGATAGAGAAAAGTAATGATTATTTCTAGAAATGGACAAAGATGGTTATACATTCATGAAATGGATAAAGATGGTGAACATTGACTCATTTCAATCATTACATATTATAAGTTGAACCGTGTAAGTAAAACAATCGAGCAGAAGTTTTTTTTATTAATTTCATACTAACTTGCCCCGAGAACCATCTAAGTAAAACTAATATAGTAGAAGAACATTTGGATACATGTCATACAACTAATAAAATACCATACAAGTTTTCAAAGCTAAGAGTATTGGTTAGTCCAAGATGAGATGGTTGGTATATGAACATCTAATTTATGATATAGTGGATACTCTTATTATTTTATTAGTCGAGATTTGGATTTTAAATTGTATATGATTAGTGATAAATTCACCCCTTAATAAAAATGCATCGTACTACTTAAACTACAATATATGAAGTTAGTTGCACATGTGGCCTTGATCCGGACAAATGGGTACAAATGGGTCAAGCAAATATTTGTGGGTCGGAGGACCAGCCCATCACATAACATGATTGATCAGTGTCCAGTCTCCACACTAAACTCCCCCCCCCCCCTCCCCCCACAACCCCTACACGCTTCCCCCCGATCACGGTTTTTATCCTGCTATCGACCCAAACCGCCGTTAGCCGCCACTGCGCAGACGCAGTCGCTGTAATCATAGTCCTAGAGACTACTCGCCGACAGCAACTTTCAATCCTTCACTCGCAACGAAAAATCATAGGTACATTTGTAGTTACGATGTGGTTTAGATCTTCTTGCTTCTCCGTTTAGGTATATTGACTCTGTTCGTCAAACTTTGATCATGGTGCTGCTTTACATGCAAATCTTAATTCCCGTCTCATAGGCGCGAGTATGGCACAAAAAATTTAAGCAACAACACGACCTCGTGCCGTAAAAGGTAAGAACGATGGAAAAGCGTTGTTCTCGTTACCACATCACAAAAGGAACAAATGCAACCCCAGTAGGATACCGGAGGTGATTCGAGCAAAGAATGTAACACAAGAGAAGCTGGAGAAGCTAAGATTTATTGGCTTAGAACATGTGGCAAACGTCAAGATCACGAAGATGCCAAATTCGTTTGTCTTGTGGGTTGTCAACAGCTTCAACGCCCATACCAGGTCTTTCCATCTCCTTCGATATGGTCAATTCAGGATAATGGAGCATGATGTGGAGAGGGTGTACGGGCTGCCCCGAGGTCAATAACAATGTCGACCTATCAACAGGAATCACCACACGGATAGAGCTGTCAAAATCTAACCCGACCCGAGTAACCCGCCCGATCAACCCGACCCGCAACCCGCCCGCAACCCGATTTGACTAAAAGTCAATGACCCGTAACCCGTCCGACCTGCAACCCGATCGACCCGCGACCCGACCAACCCGCAACCCAATCAACCCGCAACCCGATCGACCCGCAACCCAACCGACCCACAACCCGATTAACCCGCAACCCGACTAACCCGAACTCGTAACCCGACCAACCCGCAGCCCGACTATAATAGAAGGAATTCGATGAAGATAAACCAAAAGTTGACATTTGAAATTCTAGTTCACTAAAGTCTGATCATTACATCATCAATTATTAACTTAATATAATAATATACATCATCAACCTATTAATCTATTAACGCATATAACATCATAAAATATTTATTTAGATACATCATCAACCTAATAGTGCACATAACATTATAAAATATTAATTTAGCATAATAAGATAATTATAAGATTTAAAATCCAAATATCATGGTCCTGTCATAAAAAAGACTAATAATAGTTCACAAAAGTTGGATCATAACAAGAATACATTACTCATAATAGTTCATATTGTCTCAAGACCCCAAATATCAATAAAAACATGTCCAAAAAACAAATTGACATTCCAAATGACGATTATAACAAGAATACATGACTCATAACATTACAGGAAAAAGGCCATTTAATCATGGGAATAGTTGGACTCGGTCTCTGGAAACGAGAGCATTTCTCACTCATAGTTTCTCTCAGATCAGCTCATACATACACATAAATCGGGCTGAGGGACAAAGCACAAAACCTGCTTAGGGCCCAAACTTGCAAAAATAAGGCGGGATAATTTATTGGCCAATTTTGTTTGAGCCAATTGAACTTTTCGTTGGTGGGCACTTTTTTGGAGCCAAAGGATTTTTGGAGCCAAAGGATTTTTGGAGCCAACCCAAATTTTCCCACCTAAATTTTGGGAAAGTTTGTATTTTTTTTTTAGCCAAAGAAATTTTAGAGTCAACCCAAATTCTCCCACCTAAATTTTGGGAAAGTTTGTATTTTATTTTTTTTAGCCAAAGAAATATTGGAGCTAACTCATATTCTCCCAACTAAATTTTTGGGAAAGTTTGTATTGCTAAAATATTCATACTGCCTTGCCTATGTGAGCCACCATGACCAGGGCCTCCATTTATCCCAACCGTGGTAGCAAATGCAATCCAGTCCCATAACCTACAAGTTGTCTTTGAGCTTCCAGCTCTCTTTGTAATAACTTCCCATCACCACCCCTGCGTATAACCATGTTAATGAAATCATAAAACTTCTGAAGTAGAAGTTTTGGGAAACATCAATTGAAACAGAAAGAACCACCCATGAATAGTATGTCTTAACAATTCATACCCAAGTAATAAGAACACTTGTGCTGCCCCATGACAAAAAAGAGGAGAAACAACATATGTAGGCACCAAATCGTGAAGACCTTTTTCCTTTTATTCCTTTGAATTTTGTAACAACGTAGCAAGCAAGTAACAATACAACCAATGCAAAAGTTGCTAAGTTCTGCAATTGATACTGCCAAATGAAACAGGCTTTGGCTTCTCAGATGCCTCGACCCTTGGCTTCTCAAGCAACCCACAGAAACAATACAGAGATCAACCATCAGCACCAAGAAGAGGGCAATCTGAACCTAAACCGTCATTAATGAAGTTGAATCAAGAAGCAGAGGAGAAGCACGAATTTGAAACAAAGCAAAAAGAGGAACCCATCTGGAACCTGGGATGATGGCGCTCTGAGGACAAAGCCTGAACCCAGCCAATCAAAACATAGGAAAACACAAGAAATGAAAAACCAGAGATCCAATAGTTAAAGGAAACAAATACACAAGGAACTTGAGTGGCCACGATTAAGGAATGAAATTTGCAGCAAAACGACTAGTAGTTGGGAAGCCAAAATTCAAACTAGAGCCAAAATCGAAAACACGTTGAAGGAAGATGTAGCATGCGTGCTGTTCTGTCTCACGAAGGCGATTGATTGTTGGTTGTGGCTCTTCCGGGCCGCATCATAGGCAAAGTTCTATGAGCCGCAGAATTGAGACGGAACGGACGGCAGCAGGACGTAGGACTTGCCGGAGACGATGGCAGCGGCGGGAGCGTTAATGGTGTCGACGGTGATGATGGCATTTGGGGATATATTCGGGTTTGTTTGTCAGAAAGAGGGGAAGAGGTTAGATAGAAAGAGAAGAGGGAAAAGGAATGAGAGACAAGGTAGGGGTTGTGGAGAAAATCGGGCTAGGGTTTGGCTCTATCACTCTGCAGAAGAACTAACGCATGAGAGAAAGAGGAGAAATTGATTGGGTTCAGTTCGTTTCTCTCTTTTCTTTTTTTGGTAAGAAGTTCGTTTCACTCTTGTAAAGAAGGAAGAGAGAGTTTTTTCCAAGAGGGAGGGAAGGTAGGTTATTTCAATTTTTGGGGAAAAAATTGCGAGAGCCAAAGAAGGCGGCATATTTTTGCCAATCTGAAACTTTTGGAGCCAAAAGTAATTTTAGAGTGAAGCAATTTTGTTTTCAAAAGTTAATTATAACATTAGAAATTAAAGGCTAATCATTAATCACGGAAAATAAAAATAGATAAATTGATTCCCGTGATCATAACTATACAATTAAATACAAGAACGTGTCCTGTGACTACTAAAGTACATTTTAATATGGTAAAAATTCCCGTGAATACGATCTCGTGACTAGAAACCTGTTTTCCTGTAGTGTATTGTATATCTAAGGCAACTTTTTCATTCAGTGTTGCAATCTGAGTGTTGCAAGAGGGTTTTTTTCGCAACTTCAAAAAAAAGTGTTGCTATTGTATATCTAAGGTAACTCTTTCACAAAGTGTTACAATCTAAGTGTTGCAAGAAGGTCTTTTTCTCGTAGTGGTCAAAATCATAACTTATAAGATCAACTTTTCTTATTAACATATGTTCATGAATCAAACCAGTAGGGGTTTAGGGTATAGGTTATAGAGTCGACTTGTAGGGTATATGGTTAGAGTATAAGGTATTAATGGTTTGGCCACGATTAGTCAAAATCATAACTAATAAGATCAAGTTTTCTTATTAATATATGTTCATGAATCAAACCATTAGGGGTTTAGGGTATATATTATAAAGTCGACTTATAGGGTATAAGGTACTAATGGTTTAGCCATGATTAGTCAAAATCATAACTAATACGGATCAAGTTTTTTTTTATTAACATATGTTCATCAATCAAACCATTAGGGGTTTAGGGTATATGATATAGAGATCGACGTATAGGGTAATGGGTTAGCGTTAAGGTATTAAACTATTAATGGTTTAGCCAAGATTAATCAAAATCATAAATAATAAGGATCAAGTTATTTATTAACATATGTTCATGAATAAAATCATTTGAGTTCAGGGTATAGACTATTTAGAGTTTAGATTATATGTTATCGAGTAAAGTTACAATTGAACTCACAACAATTTTTCTAAATTTTATAATTTAGTTTAATACAAAAATCATATAAACAATTAACTAGCTAAAACAACAATTTCTCTATACATTTATATGAACAATTTCACTTGTTTTTAAAAGATTTAAAAACTATTTTTAAACTTTTCTCTCCAAATTTTGGGTTCCCCCAATACTACTGCCCAAAAATTTGGTTTCCCCCACCCGCCGAGACCCGCCAATAATCCCCCCTGTAACGTTTCCCCAAAATTTCCCACCCCCCATCCTTTGAGTCTTTGACATTGAGTAGTGATTCCTTTTTTTTTACAAGTATTGTGCTAGCTTCATATAGTTACGATTTACGACTTACTAGTAATCACTAAAAAGTAACGTGATGTTCTGGTCCTTAAAACCCGCAACCCGAACCACCCGACCCGCAACCCGATTGACTCGAACCGATTGACCCGTAACCCGATTGGCCCGCAACCCAATTGGCCCGTAGCCCGATTGACACGTAACCCGATTGACCCGCAACCCGATTGACCTGTAACCCGAGTAACCCGCAACCCGATCAACCCGAACCCGATCAACCCGCAACCCGACCAACCCGCAACCCGAATGAACCTAGCCCGAACCCGCCCGATTGACACCTCTACACACGGATGAAAAGTGGATGTGGAAAGAAATTAGGTCTTACAAAGGTGTCGAAAGAAAATGCCAAGCTATCGATTGTGTGAGACAAATTGACGAGCGAGAGAAACCCAAACAAATGGAGGGACCTGTTTTTCATCTATGCTTTTGATTCTATGTTGTGCCCCAATGAAAAACAAAAGGCAGACATGACATATTTGAAGTTCCTGCAACCAGACATGGTAAATGACTTCAAACAACATAATTGGTGCAAACACGTTGCGGAGCACTTCAATTAGAGTCTATCTGAATCGATGCAAAATGATACCATTTTCAAGGGAGACATCCATCTTCTTTTTGTGAGTGGCTGAACTACATACCTGTTCAATTGTTTCTAGTCTGCATCGGGAAAGAAAATTGTGGTGTGCTTTCTTGTTATTGTTGTGCTTCATTATGTATCGAGGTCTGATATCTATACTTTATGGTCACGTTGGTTAGGTTTCTGCTATGCTTTCTCCACATTGTGGCCTGTTTCATGAATCCTGTGTTATGCCGTTTATGAGGGTTGTGGTATACTGTTGGCTGCGAAATAAATACAACTTGCGTCTGATCATCTGTGTTCCATTTCTTCTGACCCAAAACTCCATTCTTGACTGAGTGAACTACAATCATTCAAATGCCCTTGTCCGCCAACTTGCACGCACAGATATTACAAAGATGCCAAGCAATAATTCGTGGAGCTACTGAACCAGGGCCACCTCGCTATTGGAGTACAAGAGGTGGTAGAAGGAATACAATTGATCACATATGAAGGGGGCAGTCAGCCATGCCTCCCCGATATCGCTATCAACGTCCCTCTGAAGTAACAGGATCCTCGCATGAAAAGAAGACGGAGCAATGAGGATGATAGAGAGAGAGAGAGAGAGAGAGGGTGATCTGCCAGACCTCCCCTATGTCCCTATTGACCTCGTTTCGATTCACACACTGGAACAGGTGGGCGATATTGTATACGGTGTAAATTGATGGCCCGTGGATTTGCTGGTTAATGTTCTACATTATTGACATTTTGGTTGCAAGCATACGAATTGAAGAAACGCCATGAGCAACATAGGATGGCCATCCTCAAAGCAGCAGAAGAATACAATGCAAAAATAAACCAGTTGAGTGAGCATATAAAAAAGCTAGAGGAGGGGCGGGACCCAGAAAGTGCACCACAGAAACATACTGGTGCTCAGTACATTGGTGGGCAAGACAATTTTTGGAATGAGGAGAAAGAGGACAGTGATAAACTCGAAAAGCTTGTTGAGGCTGTATGCAAGGTATGACGTTATATATTTGTAGACTGCAATCTGCTTTATCGGTTTCATGTATTCTTGATCTTACATGTGGTGAGCATGATATGTTTTACAAAACGACTCTTCCGCAAAAATCAATCAACACGGAGGAGGAGCCTCAGTTGCAAGAAGGTGAGGAAGGGAACGATGTGGAAGAAACTAAGAAACATTGTAGAGTAGAAAGGTGCAAAATGTTAATATATTTGTGGATTGTAATCTAATCTATCAGTGCCATGTATGGTTGATCTTACGGAGGAGGAGCCTTAGTTGCAAGAAGGTGAAAAATGAAGATTAAGTCGTTGATGTCGACAAGCTTGAGAAGGCCACAAAGAAGGTGACATTTATGGCAAGCTTCATCTTGGTCATGTATGGATGGTGATTATTATGGTACGTTTGTTCTGTTTTTCCAAGACCAATGTGGATGAGCATGGGGAGGAGGATGGAAAGAGTTCACCGTCAAAGAAACGCAAGCATGCTGGAAACACCAAGAATTCAAGGAAGAAGAGGCCGTCCAAGAAAATACAAGATCTCTTTATCAGTGGTCTGGGACAAACTGACAAGGATAAAAGGCTGCACAAAGCTATCCTAAACTACGCGAGGGAGCCAGTGAATGAGTAAATTAATTGTTGGTATCTGTGCATTTAATGGACATGTTTATCATTGTACTGCTCCAGGTTATCAAGTTTCTGTTTTGGTCTTATATAGGAAGGAGCTCCTTTTCAGTCGTAAAGACGACTTCTTCCCTCTGATAAGGTTGGACACAAGGACAATGGCACACGAGAGTGAGGTGTCCAATGATTTTGTTGATGTTTACTCCGACTACCTCAATCGTCAACAAGCAAAGAACGGGGCAATCAAAAGATGGGTGTTCTCCACAGAGAAAGCTGTGAGTTAAACAGATCGCTGGCCACAACTGCACTATCCAACGCATTCTATTCATTTCCCAGATACACTTAATCTTATTAAATGTGCAATTTGGAATTCAAGGAATACTTGATGAGATGAAAAAGGACCCAGATTACGAGTTGTTAGACCCAAATTACTTTGATGAGCTTCACGAGGAAATTACTAGGGGTGGACAACGGGACGGGATTGGGTACCCATCCCGTCTGAAACGGGTACCCAATCCCATTTGGAGAGTAAGCTCCATCCCATGTCCCAAACCCATACGGGTTAACGGGTACCCATTACCCGTACTGGACGGATAACGGGTACCCGCGGGTACCCATAATTAAAAAAAAAAAAATCATCCAAACTTGTTCTGTGAATTAAGAAACAGAATACACCAAAATAATAATAATAACAAAAAAAAGCCTTCCTTCTGTTCTACCTCTCTGCCGCATACACTAATCCAATCTTCCATTACATAAACAGACAAAACAATTTCCTTTTCATACAAAACCAAACCCAAAATATTACTGGGAAAAGAACATTAATTATCATGCTTGTCAGGTTATTAATTAGTGGAAAGCAGCCATTTAATCAGCAGATTAATTCTTTCCATTCTCACTAATGAACCAAAACTGTACAGCACACACTATTGCAGACGAAGTAGATTAAAAAAAGAGAAGCGACACAAATGGGTATTCCGGGTACCCGTATGACCGAAACGGGTATTAACGGGTAACCCGTGGGTACCCGTTGTATAAATTTTTTATCTCAAGTCCCATCCTGTAAAAAAATTATAGGTATTTGAGTACCTGTAACCCTTAAAAAACGGGACGGATATGGGTATACCCAAACACCCATTTCCCATTGCCCACCCCTAGAAATTACAACCTGCAAATGGATCCCAGACAATGTCGACTTCCGGAAGTGCGACTATGTGGGTGTTTCTTACCACTTCTGTGTTTATGGTATATATTGCTCTGATTGTGGAGAACATTTCTTTATTCCTGGTTTTAAAAATATCATGTGGTTTTATTTTTTGTGAGTGCCAATGGATCTTTTCATATCTCAAGAAAAGACACTACATGACATTTTTTGTCAATTTGAGGGATAAGAAGTTCCAATTCTTGGATAGCAT